TCTCTAATTTTGGTCTGCAAACTTAGGTTGTTAACCATCCAGAAGACAAGCTTATTGTTATTATCAAACGATTTAGGCTATCAAGCTTAACCTCGCTATCTCACTACATTTCAAACATCTTAAGCATAATAAGGAACAGGTATTTTTCATCAAGTTCAACCAATGATTTTGAACGTGGGAAATGTACAAGATGTTGCCACACAGTGACTGCTTCAAAATCATGAGAATACATGACTTTTGTTAAAGCCACTTACCAGTCCAACTAGTTAAATACAGGAGACCAAAAGTTGCATTTTTTTTTATTAATTTTCATAAGATAATATAACAGGAAATGTAAAAACCACAATTTTATCAAATTTACTCAGTACAAGAATCAACTGGCTGAAATGGCACATGGTGAGGAACATGGGAGAGATAGTCAGTACATAAGCGAACTGCCCAAGTGGTGTGCGGGGTACCCGTAAGTGGCTAAGCTTTGTCATGTGTTTGTAGGTTTATATACTGGCCCCTTCCTTTATCAGGAACATTTTCCAATTTTATTTCTGTGAATTGCTCAGAATTCAGGTAGTATAAAAAGATACATAATGAAACCTGTTCTACCTCAGTTATTGTCAGAAGTAACAAGTGTTAACCATTTCTTTTGTAGGCTAACCTTTAAATAAAATATTTTAAATTTTTAAATGTTTCTAAAAATGAGACATTGACATTGGAAATAAAAATATTCATTTATAAGTGCTGCTTAAATATTGAAGAACTATTTCATTGCTTTCAGGATCAAATGGCTATTGCATGTGGATCTCGAGCTCATTTGGAAAAAGACTCCATTGCTAAGGTAAGTTTTACTAGCTGGCATGAGTCACCAGCTCTTCTCACTTCCTTTTCTATAAGAAATAAGCTCTTATGTTTAATCTCTTAAAAATAGGTTTCATTAAATCTCCTGTAAACATTCTTAAGGTTTATGAAAGATTAGCTCATTTCAGAGTTCTTTTTTTTAAAGATATACAGGAAGGATGTAGATTTCACTTTGCCTTAGACTGTCAGTGCTTCTATTTTTTTTTTAAAGACAGAATTATAAGATTAAAGTTTGCCGTGTAGTTATAAGGAAGGCTTTTCAAAATGATGATTTTTTTTTTTTTTTTTTTTTTTTACCAGTGAACTTGCCTTTAGACATTTCATCTTAGCGCATTTAAATGCTGTACTGGTCAACCATTCCTAATCCAGAAATACAAAATACAAAATTGTGACTGCCAACATAATGCCATCAGTAGGAAATTCCACAGCATAAAACTTAGTGTTCTGCACAAAATTATTTTAAAATACTCTATAAAATTTCCTTCAGTCTGTACCCATAAGGCATATATAACACAAATGAATTTCTTTTTTTTTTTGTTTTGTTTTTTTGTTTTTGTTTTACGCATCATTTGTTTTTATTTTGTAAATTTTGCACTTGATTGTTATGAAATTTCATTTTAAGAGTACAGGTATTTATTTCTCTGATACCTTCTTTAT